TATAAAGGATCGGGATGGGGGGGGGGGGGGGGGGTCGTGAAGTGCGCGCGTGCGCGTATGTGGACTTCCGGTGCGCGGCTGCGGCTCCGAAACGACATAACGCGTCGATTCCCATTAGGGGCGGCGGGCGTAAGGAGGTGGCGGGTGGCGGGAGGCGAGTGGCTGGTGGCTGAAGACTGGTGGCTGATGGCTGGTGGCTGGTGGCTGGTAGCTGGTGGCTGGTGGCTGGTGGCTGGTGGCTGGTGGCTGGTGGCTGTAGAGGGAGAAGGGGGACGCGAGGGGAGAACGAGAGGAGGGCATTCTAAACTCGTGTAAATAAGTAACGAGGGTATTGAAGCCATCGCTCGTGGAACTTAATAAGCCTAGAGTCGTCAATTTGTAATGCGATTGCGCGTGTGCGCGAGCGCGTGCACGAGGAGGCGGGAAGCGGCCCTTACGTAACTACGTCCGCGTCGGGGCGGTACGCCACGGAGAGCGTCGGCCTCGGCTTTGTCGGGGCTCGACGCTGCGAAGGGACAAATTGAATTTTAGATCGAGCGCGCCTCGCGATCTCCTCTCCCTCCCCCCGTCCACGCCGTCCGCCCACGCATTTACATACGTACACAGGGTTAATGTGGATGTGTAGGTGGCAGTGCTTTGGGAGGTCGCGAGAGAGGTAGAGTAAGCGAGGCGTCCGCTCACTCACGCAGATGATACTAATTGAAATTTGAAATTGATATTAGAGAATTATTACTACCCTCTGTGCAAACGCAATTACGCGGGCGCGTCTCGGGTATCCGGGAGTAATTGTCGTCGAATTTAACGAGGGCCGCGGCCGCGGAGCCGACGTCGGTCAGAGAGCGAGCTGTTTTTCTACATTGTCGCACCCCCGACGGCCCGTGGGCACCCGCCCTAGGGATGATCGGATTATAAACCTCCAGCAGATGTTCAATTTGAAATACGAGACGGGGCCGCGAATGGATCGATGGGCCGCATGTATCAAAGGGCAGAGGCCTCGCGGCTTCTTGTGGCCGCCGCGGAGGTGAAAGTCTCGGCTGGGTATCTCGGGGAAAGGGTGACTGGACAGGGGATGAAATGGTCTGGGGATGAACCGCGGATGGGCCTCTGTTTGCTCATTGGCCTACCCCTGTTTTATTGCGCGATCATCCGATTGACCCGAAAGGCTTCGACGACACGTGCATTTACCCTTCGGGGGAGCCTTCTTTCATGCGCCTCCATTCTCTCACTCTCTTCCCCCTTCTTAAGGCCCATCGTCAATCTCGAAGATTCCGTCGAGTACGAGAGATGCAATTGTTCGCGCGGTTATCTTATAAGAGCGAGCGCAAGGGCCGTAATGCGTCATTCCGCTCGGCTATTCGCTCTTTAGATCCCGCCAGGAGAGTGTAAATAACACAGAGGCCAGTCGAGTCTAATTCCTAAAGCCTGAATTATTCAGCGATTATGTTAAAGGGGCTGCGGAGCCTCGACTATGCCACTTTAGGCTTTGAAAAATTGGGCGAAAGTTTTTAATTTTGTCCCTTCGCGCGGCACGTCAGCAATGGATAGTGTAAAAACTGGAATAATTGTAAATAATTCCGAGCCTCGTGTTGTAAATGATTGGAGCTCACATTGATAAAATAAAAAAATTATTTATCTAAATGACGATCCGACAATATTTATCAATTGCTTATTCTCGCGTACGTTACTTTTCACTTGTAGTCCAAAAATAAATTTATGGATGTATATCTAATAAAACATTAATGAAATAATAAAACGGCCTATTTAAGAAATTGCGTCATGTGTCTAAAGATACAACGCAGATCTTGTGAATCTGATCTTAATAACTCTAAATAAGTTATTGCCTTGTACGAGACATTTTAAAAAATATCCGAATTGATTCTTATGCGTTAAGTGTATATGTAGTCGTAAAGATTATTACAAAAATACCATGAATTCTTTATTAAAAATGAAGCAATTTAAGAATTTATTTTTTCAATTGTGGGAAATAACTTTGGCATTTTTCATTTTCATTACATACGTATGTATGCATTAAATTTTTATTTAAATGAGAAAATTAATATCAATCAATGATTATCATTAAGAATATATATATATATATATATATATATATATATATATATATATGGTATTTATCTAAATAAGATAGAATATTAATATTACAAGAAATTAAAATTAAAATCAGATGAAAATTATTATAAAACTTCAACAAAAAAAAAACAAAAAAAATATATATATAAAAAAAACGTAAGGAAATTTAATGATGTCAGCTACAAAAAAAAAAACCCTTTTTGTTTGTTTATAAATAATAGCTCATACAATAATATCGCAAACAGAGTTTTATAATGTAAGCATCTTGGTCATCGTAATAGAGTAACTAATATTTTTATAAATAATAATAATTTTTGGCTCTAAAAATAATTAAACCAATTATTTAATAACTTTATGCTCTGTATTTTTCTTTAGAAAGAAAAAGACAGAACAATGAAGCAATAAAAGAAAAAAAGCAACATGTAGAAATCATATGTAATTTTCTCAGTTATAATTAAAATTGAAAAAGTTCTTATACAATATTTATAATGTAATAAAAAAAATTATATCTACTAATTGTAACGAATTTCAGTCTAAAGAGGAATGTAATATTTTCGGTATTTCCTTTGAAACAGAATTGGCGAAATAAAATGTCGCGACTCGTTTGAGTTCACGCAAATATAATAAAACAAACAAGATTAATATGAACTAATGAATAAAAATTGCCATTGCAATTTTCGCATAGTTGTCATAGCCTTGAATCGTACATGCATTCGTGCATACATACATACATGTACGTACGTATATATGCATATATGTATACATATATATACATATATCTATATATATATATATATATATAAAGATAGATAGATATAATTAATAAAAGCTAGTAGCTTTTGAAATTATGACTCGCTACCGTATCTAATTTCCGCGAAAGCCGTCAATAAACAGACTTGGATTCGGCGTTACAGTCCGTGCGTTGATTATTGAGTCGCTAATTGTATAATTGTCGTTGGTGATGAGCGAAACGCTAAGTTGCGGCGGTGGCGGTGGCGGTGGCGATGGCGTTGGCAGCGTCGCGTACTACAAGCTGCTGACGTCAACATTCAATAATTCGACACGCGACGTATCGCGACAATATCGCGCCCGCTACTCCGCAATTAGCGCGGTTACCAATTAAAGCCGATATCGCGCTCTTCTGTGCTCTTTGTTTGGCGAGTGAGAGAAGCTCGGCCGACGAACCAAAATCACTATACACCAACGCGACTAGCTAGCTAACTTCCTTGACGAGTATCTCCGAGTATCTCCGAGTATCTCATCTCCTATCTCGCGAAAGCGAGGCTATAATTCATCCGAGGCGTGTTATCGACATCTGTCCAACGGGAAGTCGAGCGAAGAATTATAATAAGCGAGTTCGGCCGTCGTCTCCCTATACGATGCGAAATAACAATTATTAATTCACCTAATCGCATCTATGCCATATGCCCTTACTCTTTACGTTTTAGCGCTGCCCTCAAATGACGAAATTGGTAATCCGATGTATTTACAGCATTTACGACGTTCAATTGCATAATCATCGAAATTTCCAATTGTATTATTAACCCTTTTGTACTCCACTTTTAGCTATTCCCAACAACAACAACAACAACAACAACAACTTGGCCTGTTATTTTGTGACGCGGTAGAGCTTTACGATAGCCACCTAAGCGAGCTAATAAGGAAAACCTTAACATTGATAAAAATCATTCAAAATGGCTAGACTATTAAAATAAATCCCCTTGTAGACATCATAATTCGATATTATTCAAAGTCGGTATTGTTTACAAAAATTATTACCATATTAGAAGCGATTAATTACTCCGAGGCTAAATAAAATAAAACAAGATCTTTAGATATTAAGTAGAAAGATTATGCACTACTTATTCGTATCTTTTTAGGTAAATTTTATTGGCCGTCGGCTTTAATATGATACAATGATTTGTTTTGCGCACCCTTACTATCTATCTATCTATCTATCTATCTATCTATCTCGTTAGTTATACGTTATTTATAACTGCTAAACTGCATAATATCGACGCAGGTGGCACTGTAACTCCACTTTCGTTACATTAAATTGCCTTTTCATAGAGAAAGCTTGTATTGGGGAACTGCATCGCCGCTACGTACATTG